TATTCGGAAAATCGATATAGGTCATATCGGTATGGTGGCTGATTTGTGTCATTTGTGTTTTCGCGGGACAACATTTAATAATGAAAACGGCTGGGCGCGGGGCGAAAACACGTTAATTAGAGCCCTCCGCCATTTTAACATGTTAATTATCAACTTTTCACTTGGCGAGGTCGCGGGACCAAAACACGCTAATTAGCGGGGGCGCGCGGCGAAGATTTATTTATTAAACTACGCTCCGCGCCCCCGCTAATTAGCGTGTTTTCGTCCCGCGACCCCGCCGTTTTATTTCTAAAATATCGTTCCACACCCCCGCGGGACGAAATATTATTTATTAAACTTCGCCCCGCGCCCTCGCCAAAAAGAGTGTTTTCGCTCCGCGCCTCCGCCATTTTAACTTGCTTATTCTCAACTTGTCGCTTGGCGGGGTCGCGGGACGAAAACACGCTAATTAGCGGGGGCGCTCGGCGAAGTTTTTTTTCATTTAAACTTCGCCCCGCGCCTGCGCTATTAAGTGTGTTTTCGTCCCGCGATCCCGGCGTTTTATTTCTGAAATCTCGCTCCGCGCCCCCGCGAGACGAAGTTTTATTTCTTTAACTTCCCCCGTGCTCTCTCTAATTAGCATGTTTTCGCTCCGCGACCCGCAAATTTAACTTGTTAATTTTCGACTTTTCGGTTGGTGGGGTTGAGGGGCGAAAAGACGGATGACACAAATCAGCCACCATATGTTTCCTATTGGCGCTGTATCCAAATACATTTTTTTTTAAATATTTGATATTTACACTCGATTCAAATACCGTTTCTTCGACAATTTTCACATTGGCGCTAATATTAATTTTTTTTTCGATATCTGATATTAAAAATCTATTCAAATATCATTTTTTCGTTTTGTTTTATATTGGCGCTATTTGTATCTTTTCTTTCGATATATTTTTATTCACAATCTATTAAATATCATTTCTCCGTATATTGTTTTATATTACCACTGGATTTTCTATGCTTTTCATGTAAGCACACGATTTATTTTATTCAAATACATTGAAGCACATTTCCCATTAAGGCGAAAACGCCAACGTCATATATAGCGTACATAAATTTAAAATATGGTTCAAAATAATACTGTAGATATTAGAATACTTATTATACATATTACAATGTATATAAGTTTAAAAACTATTAAATGTAATAAAGATAATTTGGATTTTTTATCAAGAAATTAAAAGAGACATAATTATATGCAAGTCAATTAGTTATACATTCTTACAATTATATATTTTCATTCAAAATATTACATATTGATCAAAATGACATTAAGCAATTAAAATTGGTAAATTTAATGCGGCTTTATTAATGCCGTGATACGGAATGAAAACTACTAACACCACCACCACTAAATCATATACATGTTTATACAAATATGCTTGTATATTATGTATAACAATAATACGCAACTGTATGAAAATTTATGCATTCTTGCTGTTCGCAGGATCAGGAACGTGTCCAACCACATTGTGACCTTGTCTGTACCGTATGTAATTTAAGAGATACTAAACCGTGATACTATATGGATCAACGTTATGCTCCAGTGATGCTAAATAACAAATATCAGAGTATATATTTGCCTTCAGTTACAAATGTATATGCATATAAATTTTCCTTTCGGTTTGATTTAAAGTTAAAGCTATGTTCTTGTATATTTTGGGATCGCTTCTTATAGTCTTATGTGGAATTCAATATAAAATTATAATCAATCTTGGGACTTTACAAGCACAGATGAATTCAATGAACGTAAACAATGTTACAGGTAGGTTTAATTTCCAATCTACTGTTGAATATATTCATAACACACAGATAACTAGTATACGTACGTCGTGTTTGGACATGTGGCTCTGTTTTCAGCTCGTTGTCCTTGGTGTTTCACAGACTGATGAAATGGAAACTCAACTGCAAGAGAGATGCTCACTCAATACTGAAGATCATAGCGAGGGTATTGTTATTGAATCGGATATAAATATTAAATTGCATGACTTGAAATTTGGATTGTATCAATTTAATTTACCCATTATGTTTGTATTTTCTAAAAGAAAAATTCTCAATTGCCATATAGGGGAACAGAACAGAACAGAAACTTTATTTCTTGGTTTAAGCATAAAAAGCTCATCACCATATTACATATACAAATACAACAAATAATACATAAATGACACATGACATGAACATAATTGCAAAATAACGGTTTATGTAATTTGAGAATGTTTAATGAGATAAGAAAACTTATGTAACTTTACATAACAAGTATTTTTAACATTTACTTCCCTTTAATAATTCATGATCAATGTTAATAGAATTTATTTCTGTATGATAAATGAATACGTTTATTGATTTTCTACGTTTTTTATATATAAAGAAAACACCCCACACAAAACCGACAAATAAGCAAAACAAACAAAACTAGTCTTAATCAAAAAGATTATTTTTGTCAAAACATTTCATCATAGTATTTATATATTTTGTTATGTGTTGAAAAACAAATATATTTAATTTGAGGAGATACAAATATAAATAAATAAATAAAAAATATATGTATGTATGTACAATTTCATATTCATAATTATATAACTTAACAACTCTACATGATGAATATACAATGCGTATTTAACAGTGACAATGACATTTTTTTCTTTTTTTTTTAACAACAGAAAAAAAAAACAGAGAAAGAGAGCAAAGCTTTTATGTCAGTATATTATAACAAACTATCCCTCAATTTAAAAGCTTTATCACAGAATATAGCTAAATTTTTCAGTTCTTTCTTGCGACCAGTTTGCATTAATGAACTGAATTTAAACATACTTGTGCTTTATGAATTCACGATATCAACGTCACGAATTCACGATTTCAAATTCACGACTTCAACTTCGTGAAATCACGATTTCAATCTCGTAAATTTACGATTCCATTCACAAATTTCACGATTTCAACTTCAAGAATTCACAAAGTCACGATTTCAACTTTATGAGTTCATGTTTTGAACTTCACAATTTCAAATTCATCAATTTGTCTTCGCTATTTTTGTTTATCATTTAGAATATCATAATGATAAAAATAACGTTGTACGTTAAATTAAAATTAACATGATTCGTCATAAACGCAAAATACTAAAAAGTATATTGTAGTATCAAATCGTCATCGCAATTGTTCATTATTCACTGTATAGCCAAAAAACATAGTAGAATTTACTTTGAACTGTAAATTCGAAATATATACTTATGACATGCTGAAGTTGTGTAAATACATGTCTGCAGGTGTTAAACCGATCGAATATGGGCTTAACATGAAACCTAGAATACCGTGTTGTGTTGTATATGTTTAGGAATGTGTTGTGTATTTTTAAACAAATAAAGAGATATTTGAATATACGTATTTTCGTTTTGTGTCTGTACATGCTACGAACTCTGTCAAAGATCTATCTATGTTTTACACGTCCGTGCACTGATCATATAATCATGTTAATTAATAAATCCGGGAAATATTATTTTAATTATATATATTATTATTTTAATAATATACAAACTTGTTTAAAAAATCCGTATTTTAGTATAATACACAATTATACTAATTATTAAAATTAGACAATTTTATTAAACATATTTCATTATATTTATTAGATGCAGATCTGGTGTCAAGAATAATAGAAAACGCAAGAATAAAAATAGCTTTTACAGCCTTCTTATCCAATGTAGCAACTCATCTCAGTAATCACCAGGTCATTCCATTTGATAAAGTGATACTAAACGAAGGTCAAGGGTTTAATGTCAACACCCACATATTCACCTGTCCAGTTTCAGGAACGTATAACTTTCAAACCAGTTTATTAAGTACCGAAGGCTCTGCTGTTGTTACCGAGATTGTTAAAGAGGGTAATAGGCTTGTCCAAGCACATGCTCAACCGTTCCGTAATACCCATGCTCAGGGGTTTAATTCTGTATTCACGAAATGCGACAAAGGCGAAAATGTTTGGGTCCGACTCGATCGTTATGGTGATAAGGTATACAGTGAAAGATACACGACGTTTTCTGGATTTCTGCTGTGGGAGTACAAATGAATATCTACCATGGGAAAACTAAAGAAAATATAAACGCTACTGTATTAAAACTCATTCGCGAACGGAACATCTCCTTCACTAGATAAATAATTAACATTATATTGCATTTTAGAAAATCTGTATGATGGACTTATAGCTTCATTAAATAACATTTAAATACCCATTTTTATCTACCCACAGACAAAAATTGAACTGTTTTGTCAGTTTTTAATCAAAATTGATATGAATAATTATATATATTTCTGTGTACTAAAATAATGATTGACATTAACTAATATTTTTCATTTTAATATATTGTCTTAATACATTTGTGTATAAATATACATATTTAAATTTATTTATTGTAGAGTTATATCCCTTTATTATTTTAGTATGAATAATTTGTCTAGCACACTTTCTTCCCAGAGCCATATACAGCAAATTTAAGGTACCTTCTTTTGTATAAGATCCACTATTTGTACTAAGTTAACACAATTTAGTATCTGAATGACAAAAATCGCTCAAAAATTATATATTATATTCCGGGAACATTTCTGTGCTTATATTATACAAAATTGTACCTTTTTTGCTTAAATATTATCATTTCTATATGTGCTACTGTAATGGTTTAGATTTATGGATCTTAATGAGTCACGATAGGCTTGATAAAGATCCCATAAAGTTTTTTGTAAGATCTTAAGTATGTTTATAATTGCATGCATCACATTAACAATTACTGAACAATTTAGATATAATACATTTGATTAATAATAATATAATAATAATAATATCTTTATTTAAAGAAGGTTACACATTAAGAACATACAATAACAATCATATATATCTTATTTCCAATGTGGCCTTCTGAAATAGAAAACAACAACAACAACAACAACAGGATATGCATAGGTAGAAAAATGAATGTATAATATGTAATTTTTAGAATAATACAACTCATATACTTTCGACAGACACTCAACAATTTGTTTAAACATATACGTATATTGCATCATTCGTTCGTTCGTTCATATATTTATTTATAATTTTATCCATTTCTGATCTATTTGTATCAAATGCACGTTATTGGTTATGACCTTTAAATGTTTATTTCTATTTCGCAAAAGCTTTTTTGTGTGTCGTAATTTAGTTTCTAAATACTCGTTGGCCAATTGTATGAAAGTCTATTTTCTCTGACATTTCCTATGACAAATAATTTCACATTCAGCAATAGTTTCGTCAACACAGAATTGTTTTTCAAACAGAAAATAAAAGCTGAAGGCCGCTATAAGTGAATTTTATCATTTAAGTCTAAATTTGCTTGCGTCACGTAAATCATAAATCTGTAATTCATAGTAAAGTATTTTAATGAATAAACAAATAACATTAAATAACGTCATAATATTTCAAAGTCATTATATCTGAAAAAAGATGTCCTTTACTAAACATGTATACATGTATTTTGCTTTTTGTGGGCTTTGTGTTGATATAAGTAAAAAACATAAAAAAACCCAAAACAACAAAGTCATTTTCTGTCATATTGTAATGTACGTTTAAACAATCACGTACCCTGTTTCATACAGAAGGGGATTCAGTTCTGCGATTTTGGACAGGTACAAAGCTGTCAAAACTACAATTGACAAGGCGCTAGCCGATGTTAACATAGGTTTTGCAAATATATTATTTCAAATTTCCTTTATTTCTCTTTATGATTTAACATTTAGGCATAATTTTGTTAATTTGAGTATAATATGGATTTAATAAAGATATTTTAAAACAGAAAATGAAAACGAGGCTTGTCTCGTTATATGGATTTATAAGAATGTTATGAACTGTAAAGGAAGCTAAATTGATAATTTTGTATCGAATATTGGTTTATATTAGAATATCATATGGGGTAAACGCTGGAAGTTTATTGGTCACATTTTCAAATGTGAGATAAACGATTTTTTCTATGATGAATAGAATGAGTTTTATTTTAGGAATAGAAATTTAGCTATTTCATGTCTAAAACGATAGGTAATTACATTTTTTGTACCCTTTGTTTACATTGAATTACATAAATGAAAGCTTGCCATTTTTCATACATTATATTGTGGTTGTTTTTGGTATTTGAGCTATGCCTCCAAGCGTAAAAATCGTCATTGAGTGGGATACTGTTGCTTAATATACTGTCTCGAAAACATTTACTTGGGGTCTATAAGAAGACGGTTTATCACTGGCAAAACGTAGATACGATGTCATTTTCAGCAAGAAAATACCATACTGACGGCTTTGATGCATGCTGAAAGATCCTTTGAAGAGATTTGCCAATCGCATTTTTAAAAAGCATTTCAGCCATCGCACACAAAAGCAACATGTTTGTTCAGTTTATAATAAGAAAATAAACTTTTTATTTCACGAATGTAGCTTATTAAAACAATACAACAAAGCACCAGAAATAATACATATAATGCAAAACCTTATTTTCAACAAGGCCTTCAATAAACATAAATATACTTATTACAAGCAATTATAAAGATTATAACATTCAGTACATCTTAACTAAGAATGAAGACGGACATAATATTATATATAGTATAGGAATATTGCCAGGTTAAAGCTGAACTTCGTCATACATTTATTAGGCAACACTGGGATACTGATACTTTATTTGCCTCTTTATGTATGAGCATTACAAACTCTACGGAGTCACACGATGTTTCACGATTCATAATTATATCACAGAAAAGCATTAGAACCGATCTGGTCAGCGATAAAGGAAGAAACAAAATTCAGATACAGGCGAAATGTAGAGAGTGTTTTCCCACGAGAGTCACCATGAAACGACTTTATTGGTCTGCAATGAACAAATGGAAAATACGATTATTTCCAGCTAAAAACAGCTGGAAGCAGATGTTTATGATCAAAAACGTTTCGTTTATTTAGTCAAGGTTTGATTTTTTCCTTTTTAAAATTTTCAAATTTTTACATTTAGATGTATTAAACCGAAAAATACTTTTTTCAGGAGAATGCAAGGGAGGCGTAGTTGGGCGTAAAAATTTAAAAAAAAGAAAATCTATAAGTAGAAAAGCTTGTCGCAACTGGTTTTAGGAAAAATTTCGAATCTTATCAAATAAAGGGGGATTTTATTGATGGTATATTGGATTGTAGAAACGAACAAATATGCGATCTTTTTAAAAAAAATTGGAATATCAAAAAAACTTTCGTAGCACATTATGTGCATTTTACGCTGTCTCTGACTTTTTTGGGGGGAGTTTTGAAGGGAAGGTGTAGTCCGTTTTCTTCTAACTATTTAAATTTTCAACCGGTTTTGGGGTACGAACATCGTAATTTCATGTTTTCGCCAAAAGGGATGTTCCACGGGGTTTAGAAACACGACAAAAGTATGGAGAGAAATAGACTTCAGTAAGTAAGACTTTGTTATACATTCTAAAATCATTACTCTAAAAAAATAATATGAAATACAGTAAATTTTGTATATATGTACATCTACAGGAAAATAAGACTTTTTTCATCGTTCTGTATGAAGTTGGTTGACATAGCTTCACACATTAGAGTTTTCGTGAATAATTATTTTTTTCCAAAGACCGACTACTTAAATTGTCACGGAGAAAATAACGCCTTGCCCCAGGATCGAACCAATCCGATAGTCAGATGCGCTCTTCATATATTATTAACGCAGGTACATTATAATGATTAATATAGTTTAAGTCCAAAGATTCCATTTACATTTGTTGTTGACAATACAATTTATGTAAAAGAACTTTCAATTTAGCAAATATTAATAATGCTGTTTTTATTTTTAGGTACAGAAACAGGGATGATGCTTTTTGCCACGCGACTTCTGCTATTTATATCATTATTTTCATTAGTTGCTGCCTGTGTATGTAGTACCCTTACTTACACCAAATATCAAAATATGAAAGGCCTTTTGAATACGGCCTGGGCACTCTCTATTGAGGCAGGTTGGTTGAATTTTTATATTGACGTTATGAAACATTTTAAACGGAAATCTATGGTTTCCTAACACTTCAAATTCGAATATGCCGCAGACTCGATTTGATTGAGCTTTTATGCAACATATCGTTCACACAACGCTAAGCCCCATTCCCATAATGCATTTTTAAATATTTAAATGGGGGAAATATCAAATTTAGACCGGCACTAGAAGTACAAGAACAATGTATGTACGCATTTATAAACGTTGAAAATTTAAGCAAACTACATGATCTGTATCTTAATCAAGATAAATAGTCTGATCACGCTCTAAGTATCTTACATATAAAAATGATCGAAATATACAACAATATCAATGCGTTTTGGTGGGAAATTCATGCTCTGTAATTATATTGTCATAATTATAAAAGGCAATATATTAAACTACTTTTTAAAACCTTGTGGAACCGAAGGCGATTAGCCTTTGTCAGCTTTGTGCAGTTTGACCAAGCTCTTTACCTTTGGTAGATCAGTATTTGTAATTTGTTTTTGAAATCTGCCTAGTGTTAAATGATCTGTTACAAATACAAATTAGGGCATGTTCAGGGCTACAAAGTCAACAAATCCAGGTTGACCAAACACACACCAACACACAAACGAGCAGAATTTATCTCATCGTTAACTATATGTACAAGATGTCAATGCAAACTTTTAAATCAAATACACTGTATTCTAGACTTTCATTTACACACGATGTTCTTCAAAAATGTCATTGCTTCTTTTAGTAATATCCCTATGGTCAAATGATATTAATTACATGGATGTCATAAATTTAGCATAATTGAAGTAATTAATTATGTTCAAATGAAACAGCATATTTACTTTGCTAATCTATATACATTTGCTACAAATTTATAAAGTCAGTTCGTTTTATCGTGATGTACCTACTTCGAAGTTTATTATAACACTACGTCCTGTAGCCGACCTATAATAACTGACATACGATGGTTAGTTTTATTGTTAACTGCTTTTACAGAAACAGGCTAACTTGGCAATGAGCGGGCTAATAAAACGGTGCCGCTACCAGGAAAAATCGATAAAGTTGATATCGCTTAACACTGTCAAATTATCTGTTCACTATAATAGAACAATTACATTTGGCTTTCTTTGGGGAAATGAAGTATCTTTTATACGGGGAACCGTTGTCTTTTTTAAAGATGCTGCCTTCTTTACTGCGATCGTCGTAAAGTCATGAATATTTGATGGTAAGGGTTTATAAAACGATCCGCTACATCGTCATATTTTTGTTACCTACGTTCTGTCTCAGACGTAAATTTCCGTACGAGAATGAAAATAATATTCAAGAAATATCACGTGTAAGATAAGAAGAAACCATATATTTCATTGACATAAGCATTTTGA